GCCACCAATCGTGTCTTATCTGTGACCGTCAGATAATCTTCAGTTGTTCACTTTTTTAAAGAAAACCTGTTTCCTTTAAATGGTGGTATAAATTCAGTGCATCTAGCTTGAGCTTTAAGATTTAAATTTACTAATGAGGAGAATTAGGCTAATGAAGAGTTGTATCCAATATCAACAGACCCTAGATTTAATTAATTAAATTGTTTCAACAAAATTTACGAAATAAAGTGAACGTGTTTTATTCACTCACATTATTTACCATCTCTGCAAGACTTTGAGGTTTATTAATAAGATATTATTTGTCACATTTCAGCATTCAAACTAATTTAGAACTAAATTTTGAAAAATATATTACACCAAGTGAAGGAGTAGCTTTGTTTACTGACATGTGCTAAACCATTTGAACACCAGTGGGGGTTAATGCCTAACTTGGCCTCTGGAATTAAACAGCAGGAGCAAACTGGTTTTCTCCAGACACTATTTGCCCTTACAGTGTCCATACCAGGAATTAATCATAACCCCACAGTAAATAAGCAATCAAAGACTCCCTTTAAGTTATCACTGCGCCCTTTCACATCATGCATGTGGATTTACTGGGTAGTTGGTGCAACCGTGTGCTGAGTAGACGCCCCTGCTTGCCGCTCAGAATAGAAAGATCATGATGTTTGCTTTTAACCAGACTGTGCACGTGGGGTGAGGCTTAAGTTATCCTGTGACATCTTTGCTGCTTTTAGCTAGGGTGTCCTTAGGTTTCCCAATAGTAATACCTAAAGAAATTACGCTCTTTTTGTAGATGTTTCTGTTGTGTTGGTAGGAGTGAGTGAGCCGCGGAATTAGGGGCTTAATGCCCTGGTAATATTCAGATAAGAGCAGCTATAACCAATAAACAGGAAAGGGCTATAGGGATAACCACTTATCATAAAAACTGACAGTATGATTTTAATGGCTACTTTTGCTTTTTGAAATTTTTCTTGGATATTTGCAATTATTACATTCTTTTTATCCAATCCACTCTATTTCTACAGCACATTTAAATAATGTGGTATGTTTCAAATAGCTGCACAAATTAAGATGATAAAACAAGTTACAATGAAGTACACATATTCTACCACATTCTATCTACTAAAGAATAAATACTTAAAAGTAAATATTTATTTTTAGTTGTGCAATTTCACCATTGAATGTAAATATTGCTCTAGAATGGTCTAACTAATAAGAGATATTTTTTATTTTTAGGGCTGTGTTTGATTTTGTGACTCTTTGGCTGACACATATGATGTCTAAAAGCCTGTTAAATGTTTTTGGTTGATGTTTTAAAGCCATACTGCACCAAATCCCAATGACATAGCAACCCTATGATGACCAAACATCAAAGCAGATTCTACTTTTTAGCAATAACAGCAAGGTATATCCTAAGCAAAATTCTATAGCTATGGACAGAGTTCAAATATGCAACCAAGCATATTTAGACCAGGATTCTTTGAAAGATCAACGAACAAACGTACTGTCTGGACACACATACTACAAAACTTACTTGCCTAAGTTAGTTATCAAATGTTAAAAGCATATTTTTAAAAAGAGGAACAGCATTTTTAAAGAAATTCACAGGGTATACAGTGGTAAGACTCCTAACAAGGGAATGTTCAGGCTTAACTTAAGTTGAGTAAATCTTGGCTTTGTTGAAACAAATCTTCCCTGATACCTTCTGACTGCACTTCATTCTGCAAATGTTTGCTTTAGGATGAAAATAATGGGTCCGGGAGCGTTCCTTTACTTTTTTCCATCTTGAAACCATTCATGGAATGTTATCTATGATTCCTTTCCTGCTTTCCAACTTGCTATGGTTTGTATTAGCTGCAAGAACATGCTGCATTTGAAAGCATTTTCTAGCTTCTGTCTTATATAATGAAATCCTTTTTTCCCCCCATTGTTTCTACTCATAAACATATCGGCACTTTATTAGGTATGCTATTCAGTTCCTTGTTAACTCAAAAAACAAATCGGCCAATCACATCATAGCCTGGAGGCTCTGCACTGCATTAAAGATTTTTAATGGCTTGCACTGGATCCATTTCAGTTTTTGTTTTCTAACCACAAAGAAAAATTTCTTTACTTTTCAAGGTGTTTGCAGTGACATCATAAAAAGTACCAGCAGGCAATCTTGAAAAAAAACTGACAAACACAAAGGGTAACCATGGTGACACACACACAGGGAAAGCTGTGATTAAAAACAGGTATTAAAGAAAGATCAGGAGGGTTTCAAAGAAAATTTCAAATTTATTACACCCATGTCAGATGCCAAAGAGCTAACGTGATTACGATTATAAGCACTTAATTAACCGAACATGTCATGCATTTACATGGAGAATTACATGGTGTTGTCAGTGAAGCACATTACAAATATACATTGAGTTGGTTGTTTCATTTGGCCTCCTCAAAGTAAAACCAAACTTTTGTGATGATAAAAAAATGTATTTTTTTTTTTATTTTTATTTAAATTTTCCATGTGGAAAAAGCCATTTGCTTTTTATAAAAAAAATAAGCTGTTGTCTTCTACAACCTAAACTGCAGGATGGATGGATGGATGGACAATAAATCTTATCTTGTCTTTTGTTTTATCACTACTAGGGGCGCTAGAGCTGTAACTTCAAGGTTTCACTCTCCTAAAGCCCACTGTTAATAGTGTGCTGTAACAAAATCAAGTCCCACTTGATGTTTTGGAATCTTATAGCAGACCAAATTTAACCAGAAGACTAAGAAGTCATTGAATTCCCTTTAAGGAAAAGGCTGCTCTTATCTCTCTAGATTAAAAACATCAGATAACTAATGTGTCTAATCAGGTAACTTTTAGTTTGCAGTTACATGGCCGAGTTTTTGAAAAGGGCAGCCATCATGGGGCATTGATACACACCAATCTGTGTAAATTATTGTATTAATTATGCTAATACTTGGGTAAAAAGTTATGCAGTGTTGCTTTTATAAAATGCAACTTCAGTTTTTGCTTGTTAGGGCCTGGCAATCATCAAGAACTAGCCATATATGCTTTCTCTTACCACAAACCATAGACCTAAAATGACAATATTTGTAAATTGAGAATAAGACTAAAAATGGTTTTCAAAATACATGATTTAAAAGATTTTAATTTTTAAACATTTTATATTTAAAGGTATAGTGGAGGATTTTTTGCGAATTTTTTTAAAAGACTACTTAAAAAAAAAATGTATATGCAGAACCCTGTACCTGCTCCCAAGAGGGAACGCCTATTAAACCCTTGTGAGAGCATGCACGAGCCCATTTCTCCTTGTGCACACTCTGTTTAAAAGTTGCTGTTTGCATCGCTCATACAAGCTTACTATCCAAAAGAAGATTTTTTTATTTTTCCACTGTGTCAGACTCACCACTGTTAAGTGAAAATGGGGACAAGCACATAGGCAGCCTTACGTAAACATATCACCAGAATGACTGACAAATAAGAGGACCATTTATTTTGATGATCCCCCCGAAAAAAGAACATCCTCCACCATATCTTTAAGATGTAATGGAATTTGTATGTTTTTTTTCAAGAAAAAACAGTAATCTTCTTTGTTTTATTGTTTTGCTAACACACATCAGTTAAAATTTGATACTACAAGCTCATTGTTTTAAATGATCATGTTTGCTTTTGTGGTTAAGCTTGGTTTGTTCAGAAATATTTCTCAGCAATTTGCAAATAATTCATCATAATTCATTCTCCCTTTCAGATTTCAGTGAATCTAAATTGCTTTGCGTTCCACTTGGAATTTTCTGTTTCCAAGTAGGAAATTTCATCTGGAAAAACCCCAAAACCTCGAAGTATGGAGCAAGAAAGTTGGAGGAAAAGCACCATATCTGACCTCTTTACACTGGATGGCCACTACTTACAACAACAGTAACTAAACTTTCCTAATTTGACTCTTATAATTTCTAAAACATTTAGTTAGTTGTACAGAAACAGCTTAGTGTTTGTAAAAAAAGATGTTTCAACACAGAAGAGGGTATTTATTAGCTTTAAAACAGAGGCCATCCTTGACATATTTAAGGAAGAAAGAATGTTATAACTTTGGAGATTACCTCACTCCAGATTCTGAGGCATGGGTGGTTCTACACAGGGGCCAACAGGGGCCAGTGTCCCTGAAGAACCGACCCTGGCCCCTGTTGTGGGCCCTGTACTGAAGCCACACAGAGCAAAAATGTAAATATACGTAAGGAAATTTTTCTTAAAGTAAGTGTATTTCCTTTCATTAAAGGATGAAAGATTTGTATAGATGGAAAAAGATGGTTTATGTTTAAAGTAATACAAAATTGTCTGGTATCTTATTTCAAGCTCATTATAGCCCCATTTACAGCGTGGTAACCAAGATAACTTTTAAGTGCAAACGGCACGCAAAACTGAACCGGAGCCATACAAAGAGACGATCACAGTTTTTTTTCTGTTAGATCATAAGTGCGCAACCTTGGTTTTGTGGCTCACTTTTAATATTAAGTGGATGTGCTCTTACCCTGTTTTTTTGTTTCTCTGTTATTCTTTTTCTTTATTCCCACATGAATAATCAGCGGCCCCAACCCTGGCCCCCATGGTAAATTTTGTCCAAAACCATCACTGTTTTGAGGTAAATGGAACACTACACTGAAGTGCTTTTAGGGGTGATTGATGCCCTTATTAGGAAGAGGGAGGCCCTATGAGACCTTGTTCCAGCCCTGGTTTCACCCCTATCTGTGTCTGCTTATTTCTCTGATCCAATGTCAACAGACTGGAAGCTAGTGAGTAACTTTTGCAAACACCTGTTACTTGATAGGTTCTAGCTTTACCTTCATCTTTTGCATTTCCGGGCTGAGAGCGTTACAGGCTCCCATACTTTCTGGTTGTGTGTGTGCGCTGCTCGTTGTACTCAAGTGTAGATGCACGCGCGCTCATGAGAGTGTGTATCGGTTCGCGCGCACTGGGGATTCCCCCGCTTGACAAAAACAGCTCTTCCACTTCTCGCCTTTCATTGCTCATATGCTCTCCGCCTCGAGCCCATGCTGTTACCGGATATCTAGCCGGCAGAGCTTCGCGACTCTTCATTTTATTATTTTTTAAGAACTTTTTTTTTTTTTTTTACCCGCGTCTGGGATGCTTCAATGCTTATTTTGCTACAGTTGAAAGCAGTTTTTCAGCTCTGAGCGTTTGTTACTGCAAGGGGAAGTACTTTATATCAGTTAGTGGCATGAGACTTAGCGGCTCATTTCTCTGTTCTTATAAAGGAGCGGTGGCAGCCTGTCCGGGTTACACCAGCGGCGATAAACCCCGCTAGAAGACTGTAAATTACCCGGAAAGGAAGGCGGCTGTAGCCGGGTGGTGGAGGGGGGGAAACCCAGGGAGGCCGTTTAAGTTCACCATGGCGAACGACGGCTGTAGCAAAGAGGACCCGTTGGAGGACTGCCGCGCGGACTCGGGCATTGACTCTTGCCCCTCCATACTGAAGTCGGAGGAGCCCCGGGAGCCGAGCGGGGACTTCAGCGGGCCAAGGGACAAGTTTTCCACCGGGGAGGAGCGCCTGGATTCAGCCTACACGTCCTCGTCCATCACGGTAGAGAGTCTGTCAGATATCGTGGAGGATATCACCCTCAGCAGCGCCAAAAATGAGCGGATTTCTGAACTGTCCGAGCCAGAGGACTTACTCACAACTATTACAGAGGATGGAGACACGTAGGTTTTCTCTTTTTTTTTATTTTTTTGTTCAAATATACACTTTTCTTTTATATGAGCTCGGTTATAAATTAGATATCTACCTGATATTAATTACTTTGCAACAGTTAAATTCAACTTATGTCATTAAAATTGCAGACCTGAGCATATGCATTAATTATATATATATATATATATATATATATATATATATATATATATATATATATATATATATATATATATATATATATATATATATATATATATATATATAAACACAAACATTGTGTTTTTCAATTAGAACTTAATGATTTTATTTGAATATTTTGCTAGAGCAAAACTAGCCCATATCAGGTTGGAGAACATCACAGTGGAAGCTTTATTCCATCCATATAAGGACAGATGGCCTTTTTTCATTACTTTGAATGTAAAGGCCTGGTTTTCCCATGGTAAATGTTGCTGGAGGGGATTTTGAAGTGTGAACATGGAGACTTTTTATTGAACTTTGTCCTTGTCATGAATATGGACACACTGCTGGGTGGCGTCAGTCAGAAAACAGAAGTGAAACAGATAGGCCTGGACTTCCCCTGCATCACAGACAGAGCACATGTTGCAGAAGTAGCTGAACGTCTTGGTTTAGATCAGAGAAAACTTGTTTGACAGGACAGAACGGTATCTATGTGCATGCCTTCTGTCTTCCTATACATTATTTTGACTTGGTTGCATCAATTTAATTTTAACCACTGCAGGTTTCTTTAAAAGAAAAAAAGAAAAATCAGTTTTGACCAAGCAAAGTTTTGCAGTTCTCAGTTTGACTAGGTGAAACTTTGACTTTTTTTGGTACTAAATCTAGACACCTCAACCTCCACATCTAGCTTTACATGCAAACCTTCTTATGTGTGACCTAATGCCACACAGGTGTGTTTTCACTCTGATAATACACAGTGTCAGAGTCCTGCAACCAGAGCAGCCCATTGGGTGATGCAGTCAAAGAATTGCGGAAACTGTTGTTGTGTCTCTGACCTCCTTTGATTTCCGTTTGCTGATTGTCAGAGCCGTATGGTTTCATTATCGTACCCTAACTATAGATACCTGCTGGGAACAAGGAAGAAAAAAAACACAAGAATCACACCACACAAACTGCTGCTTAGACAGAAAGCCATGTGTGAAAACCTTAATCTTCCATTGTGGGATTCTTTGAAGATCTCATTCATTTGAGACTTACCAAAACCAGGACATTACTGCAATCTTTAAAGGCTAGTAAGGTTGCAGTTAGAGCACATTGACTATTTTGTAGATATTTGGCGCATTTCTTGTGCATAAACACAATTTTTCAACTTTTATCTAGACAGGAAATATGAATTTTTGCTGCTATCTTCCACAAATTATTCAACAGCTTTCCATAATTGTTTCAGTAAAATAAAGCAACACCACTTAACTTTGACCCAAGTTTTAGCTTCATTTGAGGTCAGAATCTCAAAAACTTGCCTATGTAACTTAAGAAGACCAGATCTGAATGGGTCATGTGACCTAAAGCACCGCTTTACCATAGTCTGAGCTACTCTTAAACTCCAGCGACTGCTATCTAGCTATCTAAGCTAAACATTTTATTTTAGGGAAAAAAGCAGTTATGAAATGCTTTAACATTGATTTGCAGTGGCATTTGTTGTGTTTGTAATTCAGCTCAAGACTAAAGCAGATAAACCTCCACTTAATCTCACTTAAGTTTCGATGAACTTTGACTAGTGACCTGTAAAGCATGTAAAATATATATTTATATACATATATATACACACACATCATAGCTATTCATTGCCAGTGATTTATATTTCATTTCATTTATAAGCGATGGAAACATCCAAATATTATTTGCAATATCAAGTGGGGTTTTTATTCTTGTTTTAGGAGCAATGCTTTAAGTTACTTTTTTCTTTGTTCTCACCACTTTGTATGATGTGTAACTTGAGAGAATCGACTTTTTTTGCATAACTTGTTTCAGATCAGAGATCTGAATGAAAGCCCTGTCCTGTTATGGTGGGAACTTTTGATCCCACTCTGTCTGCGTCTGAATCAAGTGTCCGACTTTTCGATGGTTGTTTGACATTTAACCTGAAATGAGAACTGACTGACTTTGACATCACGCTGCGGTAACGCTGCGTCTCATAGCGAAATGTTTTGGTTGCTATAAATTAGTTTAAGCTTTCTTGATTTTGCACATTTACACTCGTATCGTGAAAGCCAAGCTCCCGTCTGAATAGGCCCAAAATCTTCCTCTGTCGAGGCCGCCGTTGTGTTGTTCTCAGTGGGTCTAAATTAAGCACCAAAGCTCTGTTCCATTTCCTGCTTTGTACATGCGTTTGTTTGCTACAACTTCCCACGCAGGCCTTGGGGTTAGAGTGCTTTGTTTTGTTTTGTCATTCACATTGGCGACGAGATCTCAAAAAATCGTACCCACTATCAGGTGAAGGTGCCATCCTCCATTGACCTTCAAGCCTGCTGCAAGATGTTCTTAAGAATTTTCTGTTGATTTCACAACATCCTAATCACTCAGTTTTGCCTCACAGCCCACTAAGCATTACTCTCTTGAGATGAGTACTGAGGAAAATTGTGATGCAACATTTTAAGTGCTGACTTTTTCTCTACCCACTTTATGTTACAATGAAATCGGCTTGTTGCTCAATGCAACTTAAAATTAACCTGTAATTTTATTTGTTCCATGACTGCAAGATGTTTATTTTTATCTCTTTAGAATTCTGCACCTATCGATCATCCACGAGGATATATTCATCTCCCAAGAGTTGATAGAGCTGTTCCCGAAAGAGGTCCTTGACATCCAGAACAATCTATATCAGGTAGGTTTATGAATAAATTGTGGCTTCCAGTAGGATTTTCCCTCTAGCATTACTTCCTCATTACCAGTATTTTGAATGCAGAAGCAGAGGTAATATTTATATCTGCAAACTTCAGAGAAGTTTTCTTCCTCCTTGCGAGCAGCCCTTCCTCTCCTGGGAACGTCACTGTGGGTGGCTCCAGTGTTGGCTCATAAGAGACTTTGAATGGAAACTCCCCTCCTCTACCTTGTGTAGAAATAGAACCACAGGGAGCTGGTTGGAGTGTATCCTTGTGTGGATGTTGGGGGGAGAAATTGTTCCAGTCCTTCAGGAAGTCTGCACTAGAGCCTTAGCGCGAAGTGATAATGGAGCAGGCAGACATAGCTGTCAGTTGGAACAGATTGAAAAAGAAGAGTCAGCACTTCATGCATTGACTCAGTCTGCTCCATGCTCCTGAGTTGCATAATTTCCTCTCAACAGTCATTATAGGACAGAAAAATCACGCCTGAGTAGAAATTAAAGATCTGTCCACATATTACGCATTCTGGTGTTATTTTTTTGACATTTAAATGTTAATGTTAAACGTCAATTTGCAAACGTAGGATTTATTTTTTTCTGCAAAGTTTAAGCAGAAAATTAAAAGCAGGTTAAAATTCATGAAAAGAAGGTTCAATATTCACTGCGTTTATTTAAGCCTCTGTAAGCTATTTGATTTGGAATGACTACTCAGCTCTCGCTTTCTCAGCTGGAACAAGTTTCTTTTGCGGTTGTCTTTGATGAGGTGAATAAACAGGTATGGGCTTGCTCTCTATAGTTTGTCAAAAGCAATCTTTTCAAGTCTAGGTAAAAAGACAGATGCTTGTTATTTAAATTCAAGTGTTAGAAACAAACATAGTTTCAATGGATACAACCAGAAAATATGTTGTTTTTGATTGATGCAAAAAAAACAAAAAAGATGATTTGTTTTTTTTGGCTTTTTTCAACAAAAGTCAACAAAATACCTCCAGCTGTTTCCTCTGAAGTAATACTCGCTAGCTTTAGTTTAACGAGAAACGTATGCGCCAATAACTTCTTCCCTATATGCTTGTGATCCTCAGAGTCCACTGCACCTGGCCACCTACCTGAATCTGACAGAAGTGGTGAAGGCCCTGATGAAGAAAGGAGCCAGCTTGGAGCTGCAAGACCAGGACGGGAACACGGCGCTTCACGTGGCCTGCCAACAAGGGCAAACGGAATGCGTGACAGAAATGACCCGAGACCTTCCTGCGAGCATGCTGGAGCCAGTCCTGCAGACCCAGAACTGGAGAGGTGAGAATAGTTGTCTTATTACTGTATGGTTTTGTGTACAAACAGCAGACCTGAGCTGTTTTTTCTTTTATTTTATTTTTATGATCCCTGGATCTTCTATACCACATTTTTAGCATTATCGGCTCCGCAGCTGTCATTAAAGGTGGCATTAAATGTTTTTAATAAGGGCATTTCCTCCTTTCAGGTCTTGCCTGTCTTCACCTGGCAGCACTGAACAGGCAACAACAAATTATGAAGCTCCTGATGAAAAAGGGAGCAGATCTTAACATCCAGGTCAGCTTGTTTATTTGTGTGAAAAAATTTGCAATGTTTTCATGGAATGCACATTTTCAATTTTTTTTCTTTAACCAATTACTAGTCACTTCTCATCCTGTTGCTGCAAACAGATTTCATATCCTACCTGATGTTCACTAAATTTGTAAACAAATAGTAAAATGCTTCCTCCCAGAATGATTTGGCTCCATTTTTGTGTAAAATTTAGTTAAAAAAAAATGTTCTAGCCTTGTTTACTGCACGTTCTCGTACCTTGTGCTCCCATTTATAAATCTTCTGCACCTGTCCAATGTTGATAGTGATATGAGCTGAGCTCGGGGCTTCCTGTCGAATTTGGGGAGACATAATTAGATTTGAGATATGATTAGGCTGTCCAGCCGTCTCTTAACTTTCTATTGATGGAAGGGAACACAGCTGTTGGTGTTAAAACCACTGGGACATTCCTCTCAGTTTAAATCACCATCCCAATATGTCACTGTCTTACTTGCAGGGTGTTGAATTATAATTTTAGCTAAAACTATTATATAAGCTGTCATTTATAGACTCATCCCTTGTAATTACAAGCATGACTATTACCGTATTTTCACGACCATAAGGCGCACCGGACTAAAAGGCGCACTCTCAGTTATGTGTGCCATTTCTGTATTTAACACACACATAAGGCGCACCGGACTATAGGGCGCGTTTTTTATATACAGGTACATGTCCTCTCAGGTGGATTTTCCCACTTAAAAACATATTAAAACTACTTTATTCCAACTGATCACAGCAAATAAAGCTGCAAGGTGTATTTATTACAAAGTATTATTCAAACCTGGGAACCGGCCGTGAGAGACACATCGCTGATGACACAGGGCTGTGATTACTCCTCTGATACAGTTTATTGACGCATAAATTAACTTAAAACATAGGCAGGATAATAATCTGGATGAACTGACTGCAATGATTAAATTTTCAGGTGGACTTCCTCACTTAAAAAGATTTAGATGAAAAAACACCTGCTGATGTGAGCCCGGATGCGCTGCGGCCCAGAGGCTGCTGTTGAATTAAGTTTTCAGGTAGAAAAATAGAGCTGGAGCAAAACTGAGTATGATTGTGCTTTATTCATGTATTTATTACAAAGTATTAATCAAACCCCCCAAAGTCCTCATCCTCTGTTTCTGAATTAAACAGCTGCGCTAAATCCGACATGCCAGTTTCCCCTTCTTCTTCACTGTCAGAGTCACTTTCCGTGCCGGGCGGCTCCTTGGAAATGATGCCGGCTTTTGCGAAAGCTCGAACAACAGTCCCAGCAGAAACGTTAGTCCAAGCATCTACAATCCATCCGCAAACGGTGGCGTAACTTGCCCGGCGCTGCCTTCCACTTTTAGTGAAACTGTGCTCTCCGTCTGTCATCCATCGCTCCCACGCCGCTCGCAGCCTTACTTTGAACGGCCGGTTCACACCGATGTCGAGCAGTTGAAGTTCCTTTGTCAGACCTCCCGGAATAACAGCAAGCACAGTGTTCATTTCTTTGACCTTTTTTTCCACATCGGCTGTGAGATGGGCACGCATGGAGTCACAAATTAACAGAGATGGTGATGCGTGGAAAAAACCACCTGGTCTCCTTACATACACCTCCCTCAGCCAAGCTTTCATCATCTCCTCGTCCATCCAGCCTTTTTCATTCGCCTTAATAACAACTCCAGCTGGAAAAGTCTCTTTAGGCAAAGTCTTTCTTTTAAAAATCACCATAGGCGGCAGTTTCTGTCCATTTGCGTGGCAGCCAAGCACAACAGTAAACGACGCCTTTTCATACCCCGTTGTGTGTATCGCTACAGTGCTGGTCCCCTTCTTCTCCACGGTGTGATTCACTGGGATGTCGAAAGTGAGCGACACCTCGTCCATGTTGGTTATGTGGCTTGGCTGGATGACTTTGTCAGCGATGTGTTTGCTGCAGAAAGAGTGGAAGCTCGCCAGCTTTTCATCATAATCCGCCGGACGTCGCTGAGCAACTGTAGTCCTGGTCCGGATGGAAAAATTGCACCGTTTCATAAAACGGAAGCACCACGATGGACCTCCTTGAAAATTTTCAATTTTCATTTCTTCCGCCAGCTTTACTGCTTTTAGTCGAACAGTGACCGTTGAAACGCTGGCCCCACTCGTTCTTTGCTCCACGATCCACCGCTCGAGTCTTTCCTCCAACTCGGGCCACCTCGCCTTATGTCCGCGGAAACTCAGCTGCGTCTTCTTCACCAGTCGGAGTTCGTTTTCCAGCTTCCTCCACTTGCGAACCATCGATTCATTTATATTGAATTCTCTCGCAGCTGCTCGATTTCCATGTTCCTCTGCGTAGCTGATAGCCTTCAGTTTAAACTGGGCTTCATAGGCGTGTCTCTTTGCCATTTCCAGGGTTGTTAAGACAACAATGTTCTGCATAAAGCACATACCTGTTCTTTTATACACAAGCCACGCCCACACTTCCCCCTTTAAGGTTCTCACATACTCATGGTGGTCTCAACAACGTCCGCAGATAGGGCGCACCGCACCATAGGGCGCACCCCACATTTTGAGGGGAAAAAAAGACGTTTAGGTGCGCCTTATAGTCGTGAAAATACGGTAAATCTTTTTCTTTTTTTAATTATTGCACTGCAGGAAGGAACGGCCGGTAAAACGGCTCTTCACCTCGCTGTTGAACTGCACGACATCACGTTGGTGAAGCTGCTGCTTAACAACGGGGCCGACGTGGATGCTCCGATGTTCAACGGCTGCACGCCTCTGCACCTCGCTGTGGGCAGACAAGACGCACGAATCGCTGACCTCCTCTGCCAGTTTGGGGCTGACAAGATGCTGCGAAACATGGAAGACGAGACAGCGCTGGATCTGGCCGACGGAAATGATGACGTAAGCAAACTGTGTTGATGAAAAAAAAAGAATCTATTTTTTTTTTTTTTTTTTTTAGCTAAGTTTAAATTGTATTTGTTTTTCTTTAAATTGATACACACCTATTAATTAGTTATTTTCGAGCTGACTTCGTTTTTTGGGGGGGTTTAAATGTGAGGAAAACTTCTCCTGGCCACTCTTCAAAAATGGAAAACATCAGACATCATACTAATAAGGAAAAGCAATGATAGTTTATTTTCTATGAAAGAACAAAAGAATAAAACTGCAAATATTTTTTTATCTAATATTAAACTTTATTAGCACTGCCACTCAAGGAAAAGTAAAGACATTTCTCTGAATTCTTAGCCATCTTTTAGTCTTACTGTAGTTTTTTAAATCACCATTTTACTTTGTTTTATTCATTTTTTATTACACTGAAAATTACAGGGCCATACTATTCTCTCTGTTTTTAATTCTGGTGGTCAGGAAAAGCTGTTTTCTGCAGTTAAGTTACCTAATTCAGGGTTTTAAACATTAAACACTTTTCAAAACAAAATTTTAAATTGCTTTTTTTTATCAATAACATAAGTGATCTCTTTTAATGCATTTAGTGATAGTTTGCAGACATCGTCCAAACAAACCTATAAGCAGAGCAACAGTCATATATCAGATATCTGATCCCATTATTGTTTACATCTGGGGATTCCAACAAGCCTCCAATTCATGCTCTGATCCAAACATCTTCCATTTGAGGAATCTTTCTAGCACCCTTCCACACTAAAGTGATTGGAAGATTTTTGTTCGTACTACTTGCATTCATCATTAGATTAAATGTTATAGAACATTCCACGGATTTTGTGGAAAACTAAAAGTGGACACAATTTCTGTTGTTTAGGTTATTTTGATTTTTATATTCTTGTTTTATTCCAGATTCTGGCCCTGTTTCCATTTGATGACATCCAGATCTCTGGAAGGTCTGTAGTTGGTGTGCCGTTTTGAACAAACTCCCAGCCCAAAACATGGACTATAACACACCTGGAGCCTGAATGCAGCTGGATCTTTTGATTTTTATTTTTTTCTGACTAAGTTGTTTATTAAATAGTTGCTTTATATGTAGTTGACTCTAATATCTAGTGAGAAATGTGCACCATGCTAATCTGCTTTTCTATGGGAAGCAGAGCAATTCTGCTTAAACTGAACGCTGATTTATAAAAACAAAATGATGCGTTGTTCTCCGTTTCAAAATATGCCCCAATGCAAGTGCAAAACTATAAACCTAACCGCCCCTGAAAATGCTACCTCTTTCACAAATATGAATTGTTTAAGCTACATGACCATTTTAAAAATCCTTCCATTTCTGAAAGCATGGAACTTTGGATTTGTGAGGAGAATGCAGTCATCAGCAATGATTATTTTGGTTTCCTTTAAATTTTTTTGTCTTTTTCAAACTAATCTTATCCCTGTTTATTACAGCAAACTGATAGCCAGTATCAAAAATGTAATATATGAAAAATAAAATGCCGCTTAATGTTTCTTTTTTTTTTTTAAGGTTTGCTGCTTTGTGATGAACTATTTATCTTTTCATGTACTATTCATCTGCAGAAAAGAGCAGATCTTTGCATGTAATTACACTGGCCTCTCTCGCTGAAACGAGCAGTTCATTTATTTTTTAATAAAAGTCGGAACACCATTTGCGTGTGTGGGTATGTGTATGTTCTTTTTCAGGGAAAAGGAAGTTTGGGTTTACTCTCATTAGTGTTTTTTGGCACCACTCGTGTTTGTGCACATTCTGACCAGAATAGCCACTCTACAACGGAAAGTCCGGGTTTTCTTAAGCATCCCTGAAGCTATTTCAACCATGCAGGTTGAGATGCACATAAAATATGAGCAAAATGAAAACCATTGAAGTCTTTAAGGTTTAATAAGTTCTTACAACTCATTAGAAACATTTTTAAAATGTAAATTAGGGCAACCTCCATGGATTTGACAGTTTTTATGGTTTACCCGCATGACAAAGTCCTTTTTTGTTTGTTTCCTGTCAGGTGCTTCTGCAAGGTGTATCTTTGGTTTTACTGGAAGTCTCTTCCTTGTAGCTTCTGCAATACAATGATCATATGGCGGTTGGAAATTCCACCCCGCTGGATCTAATTTGTAAACATGCCAGCAGCAGAACTGGTTCACAATGCAGGGCTTTTGGTCACAATGGTTTTCTTGCATGCGTGATAGCCAGGAGATCATTTATGTAAGCGGGTTGGTGTGCAGACATTCTGGTTAATTCTGAGCAACACAAAATGCTCATACTTGTGTAGTAAACAGCTGGAACAAAGGTTATGAAACTCAACTACTTCCCTATTCAACTGTGACCTGGGAAACTCTGATGCTATTTATGTTTTCTGCATTATTGGTCATGCTGGCAGAGACCTGCAGTAAAAAACAATGTTTTAAACATGTGCAGCTTTCCTTAGATTAACAAAAGAAAGCTAATTTCATTCAGAACCATTTAACTCAGCGCATTTAACTGTTGGTTCCTGCAGCTTCTTTCTGAATTACAGTTACTGATGCGAGGAAATTTTTGTTCTTTTAAAGCTGCACCAGTTCCCTAAATGTTTGACCTGGGAATCTCCACCAAAATTCATTCACTGTGTAATGACTACAAACAAGCCAAGCCCAATTTGATTGTTGTATGCATGCTGCTGGATTGAAGTATTGTCTTCTAAGCAAATATACTCTATAAAAGGATAACCTTCCATTAACGTAAGTAAAACTTGTTTCAAGCAAGTATAAAACATATGTTACTACTAATCTATATCTATATTCTCTCATATTTCATTGCATCCCATTCTCAAATTTCAATGTCTAATTGGAATTTTATGAGGTTACTAACAGGCTGTGCAGTGGAAGGATTAGTATGTATGTATGTTTTTTTTTTGTGTTTTTTTTTTTTAACCATATATGAAAATAACTGTTTGCTTCTGTTTTTAGCCCTTTATATAATCCACTAACATTTACCTCTGCCTATATTTCTAAAGTTTTCAGACTACAAATCCAATCACGTCCAAATCCAATGTTACTTTTCATCCACACACAGAGTTTTGGTTTTAGTATTTTTCAGTTACGATCAATGTAATTGGTGAATTAAAATGTCTTTTGGTAAACTTAAGAAAAAAAACAGGGTTTAAAACTTTGTTAAAAAAGATCTCCTCTGCACTTCTCTGTAAATTCCAGATTTTTGAGGTGCACTGCTTATAACCATCCTATCTACTAATAAAGATCCAAACCATGAAATCAATAAATAGTTGTTTTGAAGAAATTTTGGTCTTTTCAGACTCATTCAAATAAACAATCCTCACTTTTTCTTATTAGCATGATCTCCAGGCCAGGAGAAATGTTTCTCACATTTATACTTCCGATAAACAGGAATAGGGCTTATGAATAACTAATAAGCAACACATTAAAGTTATGTATCACAAGAAAGAAAGAAAGAAAGTTACTTTTTTTTTTTTTTGTCCTACTGTCTGAAAAACGCTAGATTTAAAACTAAAGATAAAAAAAAAAATGAAATATCTGGTAGGCAATTAACAAGCAGATTTAATAACCTTATAAAAGGGTTCTTCATGAGAATGAGTTGAACTGAGTGAAACCTTTCTATCAGGGTCAGCATGAGGTTTATAGCTTTCAAGGTAGGGTTCAATGAAAGATTACATACACCTAAGTAGTGCTCACAGAGAAATATTTTCCATGGAGCAAATTAAAAGAATATTGAGGGCGGTGCTCAGAGGGTTGACGGGTCAAACAGTAGGAGGAGAAAAAGATGTGTAGGTGGGATTACTCAACCATGACCTAGTGAAGTGACAGATTTTTCCACCGCAAATCAAAAAGCCTCACCGGGCTACATGGGTTCTACCCTAGGGTATCCAAAACAAAGGTCCAGAGTCATCTATTGCTTGTGTTTTTAAACGCATACGTCAAAGTGAAAGATGTGGGAACCTTTTGCCCTACAGCTTGCAAAAAACACATACCCCGGCGTTTCTTCCAGTCAGAAGTTACACTGAACAGTAGAATCACTACTTTGGTTCATTTCTAACAAGGGGAGACAGATATTACACCAGCCGTAATATACGAGAAATCAAAGAGTAATTTTTGTTATCACTCCCTCCAAAAAGTATCTGTACTCATTAGACTGTTGTAAGGCTTAAGCAAGACCGCCAACTTTCACAGGTTTCATTTTTTGTATGAGATAGACCAATAGGAGCAGAACATAACTGTGAAATAACTTTGTGTGTGCATTTTTATTCTTTCTCTTCTACTCTCAGTCACCCAGATTAAATCCAGAGAAGCCAAATTAATTCAAAGGTCCACTAATCAGTAAATATAGAAAAAATGTGTGTAATCTAATCTCCAACCAACCAAGGAGGTTTCTTTAGAGAACACATGTGAACAGAGCAATGAAAGAGAAAGCAGACAGTCCAGGAAAAGGCTTTGGAGGAGTTTAAATCAAGATTTGATTATCTCACAAAGCCCCATTCAATCCATCATCTGACAGTGGAAAGAATACCTCAAACCCTACCTTGGAAGGTATAAAACCCCCTGCTGAGAATGAAAGGTTTCACTCAAACAGGAAGACACACATTAACACAAAAGCACGCAGACACAAGTGCAAAGAGCTGCACTTACTTCCCTTAAGTCAAGAATGAATGAAACATAATGTTAACAATGTTAATTTAGCATGTTGATTGATAAATAAGTCCAAAATTACAGAATTTAATTGCATAAAAATGTTTTATTTTTGTTACCTTTATGTAATATGTAGATACCAAGAAGTTTTTTAAAAGAGTATTTCAACTCAATGTCAATATACAATATTTTTTATTTTATTTATTTTTTTATATTCAATTGGCTTTTTTCTTATAAATGACAAGACCTAAATATTTTATTAAACTAGTAGGACTGGAAGAGAAGAGCAAGCATTAAAAAGAAGATTAGATGCAAGGAGGTTGTTTGTTCTGAAAAAACTTGTAAAATTCACAGCTCAACTGGGAGAATGTGGTGGCCATCCTCATTGTATACTACAAAAACTTGATTTTTATAAAAGAGCACAAAAAAAGTGTGTGAGGCCACAGATGATACAAATTATAGAAAAGTAAAGTAGTTTGGCCAGATAAAATCAACTTTCATCATGGTGAGCTGAATGCAAAACCATATATTTGGAGTTAAACTAGAGCTACACATCAGTTATATCATACCATCTTCATAGTGAAACATAGTGGTGGCAGCATAATGCTGTGGGGATTTTTTCCCCCCCTTTTTTTTTAGCAGTGATGTGGCTTGCCGGTTATAGCTAATGAAACTGAGCTTCGTGCAAGGCAATACTTTCACAAAACCTTCCGGAGGTAAAGACTTAAGGTAAGGATGGAGATTTACCTTTATGCTAACAAAGAGCATTAAATAAGGCCAGAGCACTAACATACTTCTAAATCAAAGAATCTTAATATTTTGAAATTGTCTGGTAAAAGTCCAAGGTAAAGTGCTTTTGCTACAAACCTGTAGAAATTAATATATTCTGCAGACAACAAAAAGTTTCAAATCTCTATATGCAGAAAAATTATAATCATACCTTCAAAGACTTGTAGCTCTAACTGCAGCAAACACAATTGTAGTGTTGAGGGAGTGGAATACATATATATTGCATTTTTTGTGTAGAAAATGGTCAGAAAGCATGTATTGTTTATTTTACTATCTTCTCATTTATGTTATTTAAACTCATAAAGTATGAATAACATATATTGAAGTTTTTGGATTTGCCGTGAAAATTAGGAGTATTTATAGTTTAGCAAGACAAAATATACCTTTTAAACTGAAAATGGACGGGGAAATATGGTATTTGTACATAACAATTGCAAACTGCCCTCCAAAATACAGGTGCTGGTCATAAAATTAGAATATCATGAAAAAGTAGATTGATTTCAGTAATTCCATTTAAAAAGTGAAACTTGTATATTATATTCATACATTACATACAAACTCATATATTTCAGATGTTTATTTTGTTTAATTTTGATGATTACAAATGACAACAAATGAAAATCTCAAATTCATCATATCAGAAAATTAGAATATTGTGAAAAGGTTCAAAATTGATGGCCCCTGGTGCCACACTCTAATCAGCTAATTAACTCAAACCACCTGCAAAAGCCTTTAAATGGTCTTTCAGTCTAGTTCTATAGGCTACACAATCATGGGGAAGACTGCTGACTTAACAGTTTTCCAAAAGACGACCATCGACACCTTGCACAAGGAGGGCAAGACACAAAAGGTCATCGCTAAAGAGGCTGGCTGTTCACAGAGCTCAGTGTCCAAGCACATTAATAGAGAGGCGAAGGGAAGGAAAAGATGTGGTCGAAAAAAGTGTACAAGCAAGAGAGATAACCGCACCCTGGAGAGGATTGTGAAACAAAACCCATTCAAAAATGTGGGGGAGATTCACAAAGAGTGGACTGCAGCTGGAGTGAGTGCTTCAAGAACCACCACACACAGACGTATGAAAGACATGGGTTTCTGCTGTCGCATTCCTTGTGTCAAGCCACTCTTGATCCACAGACAGCGTCAGAAGCGTCTTGCCTGGGCTAAAGAGAAACAGGACTGGACTGCTGGTGAGTGGTCCAAAGTCATGTTCTCTGATGAAAGTAAATTTTGCATTTCCTTTGGAAATCAAGGTCCCAGAGTCTGGAGGAAAAGAAGAGAGGCACTTCATCCACGTTGCTTGAAGTCCAGTGTAAAGTTTCCACAGTCAGTGATGGTTTGGGGTGCCATGTCATCTGCTGGTGTTGGTCCATTGTGTTTTCTGAGGTCCAGGGTCAACGCAGCCACATACCAGGAAGTTTTAGAGCACTTCATGCTTCCTGCAGCTGACCAACTTTTTGGAGATGCAGATTTCATTTTCCAACAGGACTTGGCACCTGCACACAGTGCCAAAGCTACCAGTACCTGGTTGAAGGACCATGGTATCCCTGTTCTTAATTGGCCAGCAAACTCTCCTGACCTTAACCCCATAGAAAATCTATGGGGTATTGTGAAGAAGAAGATGCAATACACCAGACCCAACAATTCAGAAGAGCTAAAAGCCACTATTAGAGCAACCTGGGCTATCATAACACCTGAGCAGTGCCACAGACTGATCGACTCCATGCCACGCCGCATTGCTGCAGTAATACAGGCCAAAGGAGGCCCAACTAAATACTGAGTGCTGTACATGCTCATACTTTTCATGTTCATACTTTTCAGTTGGCCAACATTTCTATAAATCCTTTGTTTTTATTGGTCTTCAGTAATATTCTAATTTTCTGATATGATGAATTTGGGATTTTCATTTGTTGTCATTTGTAATCATCAAAATTAAACAAAATAAACATCTGAAATATATGAGTTTGTATGTAATGTATGAATATAATATACAAGTTTCACTTTTTAAATGGAATTACTGAAATCAATCTACTTTTTCATGATATTCTAATTTTATGACCAGCACCTGTAGAACCTTCTTGTGCTTTTAATTTGTATGGGATTATTTCTGTTGCACCCTAAATGTTGCAGTAACCACTCCGTGCCGACAGGGTACAGTGTCGCCGAGATAAAAACCGTTTTCCACCTCCGGCATCCTACTGGTGTTCATTAAAACAAGAAGGGAGGCTTTGCTGTTTCAGTGAACACATCATCTTCAGATGATAAGTGGAAAAAAACAGATTTAAAACGAGCCCGTTCCGAAGAGAAAGACTCAGCCCTTACGGGTTTAAAGCGTCTCTTTCTGTCCGACCGGAGCGGCTTCATGCTGCGTCACCGCGGAGACGTTTAAGAGCTGCTGCCGGGTGTGGGGCCACTGAGAGTGGGGGGGAAAATGCCTTCTTTCTCATGGAGGTAAGATCTTTTTTATGTAGGACGAACTGAAACTGGGGGGACAATGTTTAGATTTGGATAAGCTGAGCTGTCTAAAGTTAAAGATATAGTTTATTTGAAATGTGGCTAAAAAATTAGCAAGTGCCGTTACAGCTACACGATTTTATGATGTTAGGCAATATTTAGGAGTAAATATTTAATAATGAGTTAAAGTATTTATGGCACTTTTTAAAATGGAGTGCGCTTTGTTATGTTCAATTAAATAGTAAAGTGAAGCATTATTAGTTTAGTTTTGATCCAACTTTTCTTTAACCTGTCTTATTATGCATCATAAATGATGTTTCCTCTGTCTGTCTTTTCTTGAGTCTTCTAAAGTTACTTGAATCATGTTGTTACTGCGATGTTCTATACAAATTAACTTTATTTACCTTCGGTTCATATTATGCACAATGAGTCATAATGCATTTATACTAAAAATGTATTATGTCGTTATGGCCATATATTGTTAGATATTTAGATTCTATCTGTCTGTCTGTTTTTGAGCCGTATAGATGTAGATGTATATATATATATATATATATATATATATATATATATGTGTATATATATATATATATATATATATATATATATATATATATATATATATATATATATATATATATATATATATAGAGAGAGAGAGAGATGTATAATAGATAGATAGATAAATGATAGATGTCTTTGCTATGCAATGCATAAATGCATCATATGCTATCCCATGAAAAAATGCTTCCAGATGACTGTTATTAAATCCAATGCTCAAATCACTATTAACAACAGTCTGGAAGTAGCTGGTGTTGCAGCTGTTCTTGCACCATCAGGACCTTGATATTATCCTAATTAATTCATCTACCTGACTATAAGATTTTTAGCACAACCTATCCTAAATAAGTTTGCTAAGATCTTGGATAATGAAATCTGCTCAGTTCCGTCTCCATAGCTCCTCTTCACAGGTAGCTTCTATATGTTTTGATTGCTTCCATTCATGTAGACACATCTGAAGGAGAAATTGTATTAAAAAATGACAGATAAGACATCTAAATGGATGTTGTTAAGAGAACTTTACTCATATTTTGCTTATGCAGATTAAACCATAAAGTTGTGTGTGAATCATATTATGAGGATTTGTGTTAATTAAATAATCGTTAGAAGTTAATAAAAAAACTGGCCTTGTATTTGTTGGTTCAGAGGCGATAAACTATGACTAAATGTCTGTTCTGTCTTTCTCAGGCACTGAGAGCTATAAGCTTAATCATGTGTTTCAGTGCATATCGCCTGTCGTGCATCCTACAGGACACATTTATACACTTCTTATCTCAGGTGAAATGTGTCTGTTTTCTGTGGAGTGCAGCAGCTTGTGCGCTGCATTCCTCCATGTAATGGGCTCCTTGTTCAGAGGCTGAATCCTGGTGCAGTGGGCTGTTGGTTGACTGGAGAAGCGGACATAAAGAGATCCTGTGTTCAGGTCAGGCCCCGGATAGAGGAGGGTCCGCCTCTTTCTGAAGAGGATACTCTACACTCAGCTACAAGAGGCACACCTTCATGCAGGATAGAACTATTTACTCTTGACTAGTTAATTTACCAGCCCAATCATGTCCTAAATTAGGCTCTTTACAAGCATGCTAAATCAGGTTTAGCTTCATTCCACTATCTTCGTTTTATATCTGGGTCTCCTCATTACTTGTACACCGCAGGTGTTTCAAGTTGAACCACTACTATGACTCCAGATTCTTATACAGATATGAAGACATCGCTTTTCTTATTCTTTCATAAAAAGTCTGTCATTATCTCTAAAGTTTTAGTCTATGGCTGTTACTTAAGACAACTTTCAGACAATAAATGAGTAGCAGCGTAGCAGTGAAATGAACATTTCAATTTCATAAAGTGCTGCAGTGATCAAAAGTAAACAGTGCGAGAGAAAAAACATGGTGCAAAATGCAATGATATGGAAGTTCACAGCATTTAAAGATGAATATTTATGGTGCAAATATGAAGTATTTTGGTTTGGTGTTCTCAGTGTGATGCAGAGTCTAACTTGATTTAGAGTTTTTTTTCTTTTTTTTAAACAGTTCAGCAGTCTGATGGCAGTGGGGGAAAAACTGTTACAGCTCTCAGGAATAGCTTATATACACTCAACATAAGTCTGATTTAGTTTAGGTTCAGATTTGGATTATTTATTTTAACCATTTCTCTTTTGCTTTGAAATAATTGCACTAAAGTACAAATGAAGTTAATTAAAAAGCAAAAATTGGGATTAGTTACAGTTTATATATGTTGAACTACACATACACATTCAAATATGTGTATGTACACACCATTTATTTTGCATTCATTTGCATGGCCCAACCCTGACCCTTCCCCTACTCTTCTTTACCATATCTAACCCAAAAGTCAACCTAAACTCAATTCATACTTTATTCCTAAACCTAACCCTGTAATCAGTAAGAGAACTTTTCCTCATGGGAACCAGTCAAGTACCCGTTGGACCCCACAATATAACATATTCTTGGGAATTTGGCCTTACATTTTCTTTGCAAGGTGATGTAAATGTGTCATCTCTGCCATTTCAATCTACAAGCATCTGACGTGATACCGGCTCAATATTGTATCCAATCTTCCTTTAAAATGTTTGGTTTGGTTACAATGACCTGGAATTGATGCATATTAGCTCTTTTCAATTCTCTGACAGGGTTTTCGCGGATCATTAAAAATCATTAAAAGTCATTAAATTATTGTTTTTTTAAATTAAGGCATAATTTGCATTAAAAGTCAATAAATGTGATTATCTTGGCATTTAAAATGCTTTCTTTATATAATCAATAAATATATATATATATATATATATGGCATACAAATTCTTTCTAAGAGCATTAAATGAGCATTAAAAAGCATTAAATTAGAGTCATTCATTCCTGTATACACCCTGTCTGAAAATGGTTGTGATTCCGCAAACCTAACGTCTGCATACTTTATTTATTCTAAACCAGTTTTGTTATCCCTTTGTGATCGCTGTCTCATAGAATGCCTACATATGTCCACAGTTTAACCCGTTGAATCAAAATGTTTATTATCTCTACCTTGTGCAAATCACCAGTAACCCCTGGCATTTAAATAGCCCTGCAGCATGATGCAGCCACTACTGTGCTTGATAGTTGGAGCAGTCCTTGAATACTAAGCTGCTCTCAATTATTGTTTGTGATTTATTAATGCCTTAGTTTGCGTTTTTTAATTTTTTTGCGAAAAAGGTTATTTTACTAAACTCATAAAAAGCTGCATTTGAAAGATTTTCTGACCATAATGCTTGTGCTTACAGTAGTAGTGATATTCCACAGAAGCAAAATGCTTTTTGGATTTTTTTTTTAATTTAATTTTATGATGTAACTTTTATGTTTGGGTTATATGTTATTTTAAAATGTAAAACTTTTCTTTATCCTTTAGAGTTTGGCCTGCACTTGTGCTGCTGTGTTTTCCCTCCATGGTGACTGCAGAGGATGTGTCGTTGCTGGAAGGCTGGCACGATGTCTGGTTCTTCCGTTTCCTCGTCAACATGCTCGGATATGCCACGATCATTGTCCCAGGATATTTCCTCATTAGCTACTTCAAACGCTCTAATTACCTGGACAGAGGTTTGAGATGTTTCATTGTCCTATATTAGAACATTCTTTGCCTAATTTTTTCCTTGAAACTCTGACAAACAGCTTTACATCATGCCAGGTGTCTGTATCAGTGTTGGCTGGATGATTAGAACAGATCAATATGTGGATGCACCATGCATTTATCTTTAGTAGAATTGATTACTGCAACAGTGTCTTCATTGGTTTTGCCTAAAAAGTTGGTCAGAAAGCTGCAGCTGATCCAGAAAACTGCTGCCCGTGTTTTCACTAGAACTAAGAAATTAGAGCACATCAGCCCGGTTCCGAAGTTCTTCCACTGGCTCTCTGTAGCTCAGAGAGTAGACTTTAAAACTCTTCTGTTAGTCTATAAATCACTGAATGAATCAGCACCTCGATACATAACAGATTTGTTGTCAGTGTATCAACCTCCCAGACCTCTCAGATCTTCTAGTTCCAGCCTACTCTGTTCACCCAGATCTAGAACCAAACATGGAGAAGCAGCATTTAGTCCATATCCTCCACTGATCTGGAACAGACTCCTAGAAGACTAAACGTGCTGAAAGCCTGAGTTCTTCCATTTGTTTAGAACTGCCTTTGACTGTTGAAGTTAAACTGTTTTTGTTTGTTTCACTACCTGCTTTTATCTTCATCTGCTTTTATTCTGCTTTTAACTTTCAGGCAGCGGGCTTTGTTTTCCTGTCATAAAGAGCTGCGTGTTTGGCGGCGAGGACAAGAGCGGGCTGTTGGACGATGTATCCGTCTCAAGCAGGAACGAGCCTGATTCAGGCTCATCACTCAAACAGGCTTTAAAGTTAATCTTTTGTGCAGCAGGACTTCAGGTAGGGGATCCTCCCAGAACTAACAGCTACTGTAAACATAGAGCTAACTACAACATTCTGTTTTTTTACACAATGTAGAGGGATCCTATTTGCTCAAACTCCAATCTTATGATTATTTATTCATGCAGTGGTGATCAAGTACACTAGGGTTATTTTTCTCTGTCTGGCCAATATAATAGAATAGAAATGACCTAAATTGTCCCACTCTGTGTAAATTCAGGTGTGTCAGCAGCAAAACAAAAGCAGACAGGTTGTATGAAGAATAGACAATTATGAAGAAAAATAAAACAAAATACAATGAAGCCAAACAGGCCCTTATGTATCATAGGGATGTTTATAGGAATTTCAGCCCAGTTCAGGTCTCTTCTCTTACTGCAAACGCCTTAATTGTGCTCTATCCAGCTATCTGTTGTAGATTTGCTGATGTGTGAGGAATCATTGTCCAGTTAACGTTATGATTGGGGCCTAACTCTAGCCACCTGCCAGATTTTCTCCATATACAGGTGCTGGTCATAAAATTAGAATATCATGAAAAAGTAGATTGATTTCAGTAATTCCATTTAAAAAGTGAAACTTGTATATTATATTCATACATTACATACAAACTCATATATTTCAGATGTTTATTTTGTTTAATTTTGATGATTACAAATGACAACAAATGAAAATCTCAAATTCATCATATCAGAAAATTAGAATATTGTGAAAAGGTTCAAAATTGATGGCCCCTGGTGCCACACTCTAATCAGCTAATTAACTCAAACCACCTGCAAAAGCCTTTAAATGGTCTTTCAGTCTAGTTCTATAGGCTACACAATCATGGGGAAGACTGCTGACTTGACAGTTGTCCAAAAGACGACCATCGACACCTTGCACAAGGAGGGCAAGACACAAAAGGTCATCGCTAAAGAGGCTGGCTGTTCACAGAGCTCAGTGTCCAAGCACATTAATAGAGAGGCGAAGGGAAGGAAAAGATGTGGTCGAAAAAAGTGTACAAGCAAGAGAGATAACCGCACCCTGGAGAGGATTGTGAAACAAAACCCATTCAAAAATGTGGGGGAGATTCACAAAGAGTGGACTGCAGCTGGAGTGAGTGCTTCAAGAACCACCACACACAGACGTATGAAAGACATGGGTTTCTGCTGTCGCATTCCTTGTGTCAAGCCACTCTTGAACCACAGACAGCGTCAGAAGCGTCTTGCCTGGGCTAAAGAGAAACAGGACTGGACTGCTGGTGAGTGGTCCAAAGTCATGTTCTCTGATGAAAGTAAATTTTGCATTTCCTTTGGAAATCAAGGTCCCAGAGTCTGGAGGAAAAGAAGAGAGGCACTTCATCCACGTTGCTTGAAGTCCAGTGTAAAGTTTCCACAGTCAGTGATGGTTTGGGGTGCCATGTCATCTGCTGGTGTTGGTCCATTGTGTTTTCTGAGGTCCAGGGTCAACGCAGCCACATACCAGGAAGTTTTAGAGCACTTCATGCTTCCTGCAGCTGACCAACTTTTTGGAGATGCAGATTTCATTTTCCAACAGGACTTGGCACCTGCACACAGTGCCAAAGCTACCAGTACCTGGTTGAAGGACCATGGTATCCCTGTTCTTAATTGGCCAGCAAACTCTCCTGACCTTAACCCCATAGAAAATCTATGGGGTATTGTGAAGAAGAAGATGCAATACACCAGACCCAACAATTCAGAAGAGCTAAAAGCCACTATTAGAGCAACCTGGGCTATCATAACACCTGAGCAGTGCCACAGACTGATCGACTCCATGCCACGCCGCATTGCTGCAGTAATACAGGCCAAAGGAGGCCCAACTAAATACTGAGTGCTGTACATGCTCATACTTTTCATGTTCATACTTTTCAGTTGGCCAACATTTCTATAAATCCTTTGTTTTTATTGGTCTTCAGTAATATTCTAATTTTCTGATATGATGAATTTGAGATTTTCATTTGTTGTCATTTGTAATCATCAAAATTAAACAAAATAAACATCTGAAATATATGAGTTTGTATGTAATGTATGAATATAATATACAAGTTTCACTTTTTAAATGGAATTACTGAAATCAATCTACTTTTTCATGATATTCTAATTTTATGACCAGCACCTGTAATGCATGATATCCAAGTCCTGCAACTGCAACATAAGCCCAAATCATCATTCCTCCTCCACCAAGCCTGGCAGTTGCTGTTAGGGTTTTGATATGCTGTGTTATGGTGCATCTATTGAGATCAACCATTTCCATTTTTTCATCTGCCCAAAGGGCATTGTTCAGTTGCGGCTTTCAAGACCAAATTTTCATCGCTTGTTTTTCCTTTAGCGTCTGTTTAGACAACCTGTAATTTTTGCGGGATTTTCTAATTCTACTGTCATCAATTAACCCTTAACAAGCTGTAGATTATGTGGGTGTCTTGCAGAAACAAGCAGACATAAAAGTAGTATGTAAAGGTGTAAAATGATTAATAGAAAGGGTTTAGTTGTCTTTTTAATAAATGGCAATCCTGGTTCTTTGTTTACGTACTTTGAGCAAATAAAACACTCCCTGAACTGGAATTTGGAAAAAAAAAGATCCATGCCAAGTAGGAAAAAGAGTAGATTGTGAATCCTGCTATCTAAAAGTAGACCTGATGAGTTTAAAGCAGCATTTCTTCTTTTCAGGCATCATATCTGACGTGGGGAGTCCTCCAGGAGAGAGTGATGACCCGCTCCTATGGAGCCACAACTCAAGACCAGGAGGGAGAGAGGTTCAAGGATTCCCAGTTTTTGGTCTTCATGAATCGCATCCTTGCACTGACCGTATCTGGACTCTGGTGCATCCTGTTCAAGCAGCCTCGTCATGGTGCACCCATGTACAAATACTCTTTTGCTTCGCTCTCCAACATCCTGAGCAGCTGGTGCCAGTACGAGGCCCTAAAATTCATCAGCTTCCCAACTCAAGTCCTTGCCAAGGCCTCCAAAGTTATTCCCGTCATGCTCATGGGAAAGATCGTGTCTCGTAAAAGCTACGAGTACTGGGAATACTTCACTGCCGTGCTAATCTCTCTCGGCGTCAGCATGTTTCTACTGTCGAGCACAACCAGCAAGCACCCATCCACTGTCACTACATTCAGCGGCATCATCATCCTCGTCGGCTACATCGTCTTCGACAGCTTCACGTCCAACTGGCAGGACAATCTTTTTAAGTACAAGATGTCATCTGTGCAGATGATGTTTGGGGTCAACCTGTTCTCCTGCCTCTTCACCGTTGGTTCGCTGCTCGAGCAAGGCGCCTTCTTCGAGTCGCTGGCCTTTATGACGCGGCACTCGGAGTTTGCCTTCCATGCTGTGCTGCTGTCCGTGTGCTCGGCCTGCGGTCAGCTCTTCATCTTCTACACCATCAACCAGTTCGGAGCTGCTGTCTTCACAATCATCATGACACTGCGCCAGGCCTTCGCGATTCTCCTCTCCTGTTTCCTCTACGGCCATGCCATCACAGTCGTCGGGGGCTTCGGCGTTGCCGTGGTTTTCCTTGCGCTCTTCCTACGGGTGTATGCCCGCAGCCGCATGAAGTCCAGCCGGCCGTCCGTGCTGCCCCAGAAGGTGTAGCTCTCCTATGACCACGTTTTCAGTGGTGCTACTTGTCTTTCTATGGGAAGCATGTTTTCCCAACATCTTTTATGTTTTTTTTTTTTTTAATAACTTCGGTACAAAACAAAGGGATGCTGAAGCCCTTACTGTCACAGATGCCCCCAAGGGGTCAATATAACATCAATGGTAAGAGGCTTTGAGTGCCTTTGCGATTGTTTTAAGTTTTAAACTACAAACTGCCTCTTCAGTTCTGTCGCTCTTTAACTGTTTGTTTATAATTTTAACCACCACACGTGGCTTTTGCAGCCAATTTAAGGTAACAGAATAGCTCAGCATTAACACTTTCTAATGTCCAAAAAGCAAAGTTGGTCTGCTCCTTAAAGAGTTATGGAATCGTTTCATTAAAGTTTTATTCTGGGGATAAACTTTTGTGTCTTAATATGGTATTTTATATATTTTAAAGCTGGGATCACAGTTTTGTAAACACAACATGCATTTAAGTTTACTTGTCAAATGGTTCAGATGCTTCAGTCACTATGTTTTGGGGGAATAACTTGTGCAATGTAAAAAGAGTTAAAGAAAAAAAAAATATTTTAATCTGACATCCCAGAACTGAATCTAATTTAATTTTCAGCTTTTTTTTTATATACATACACATTTCCTGTATGGTTTAAAAAAAAAAAAAGTTCAATAAGAAACAAACATGTAAATATGTACCCTGTTTTATTTTATTTGCAATGACCTTATCGGTTTTCTTCCTTTTTGTAAAGGACTGACTTTCTTGTGAATGTTTGGATGAACACTGTCACAAAGATGTGATCTTACTGTGAGCTCCAGTTTGCAGGTCTGAATGCACACAAGGGAGATGCCATGTTAACGGTACCTTGTTTATATCATTCTACTACTTTTTCTCTGGTAAATGGATTAATAATAAAACCTGTTAAATTAACATTAAGTGGTGAAGGGTTTTGTTTGCTCTGCAGGCTTTACAGATTGAAGAATCCCTCTTGGTACGTTGCTTTGCAAAATGATTCTTTTTCACTTTATATTTAAGAACTTTGATGTTTTATTGTAGCTTTTAGACTGAAGGCAAGTGTTCAAAGGGGCCTAACTGCTAAAACAAATGTATATATTTTCAATTAACACTATATGCACCAACCATTTGTCCTGATATTTACTTTTTTCCTTTTGAACTTTAGTAGCCTTTTTCCACAGGACGTGATCAGCAGACTGGAGCGCTTCTGTGGGCGATCTACTGTCAGCTTATATCACCAAACTGGAAACTTAATCATGCTGAATATTGTGTCAGGGTTTCTACAGGGTAGTGTATGAAATGAGCTGAAATTAAGGCCATTGTAAGGTAGTAAAATGTAATTAACAGAATTGACTTGGTAGTACATTTATCATCAATCTTTCGATATATTCTGAATTTTTCATTGATGCTGAATATTTGGTTTGCAAATTAATTCATAAAATATTATAAAATAATACGGCAGGTCCTGTGCTGAAGTTGATACACTCAATTGGTTCTACTGGCTGATATGCTGTCTGGAACCACCTTATTTGTTGAAAGAAGAGTCACTTTTCTCCTCCTGAACTTAAGGCAGCTCTTTTGTTTCCTGTCTTTCATTAGTAGATGATCAATTAATCCAGGTGCGTCTGGCCATTAGGCCAGGCACACCTGGATTTAATGTAATTGTGCAAAGAACCCATTCACACCTCAGCGGCAAACCAGTATTACCAGTAAGGCGGACCTATCTGATGCCAACTTCAGTGCTGACGTTTTATGGTGCCTGAAAACTGCAGCCAAGCATTACTTGTGCTCTTCAAATCCACCAGGAAGCCATTGAAAAAGCATGTTCAAAGGCTCTAATGGAGAAAAAAGCATTGAATGCATGAGGAGGGCTTAGTATTGTTAGTAAAAAATATTGTAGATGTAGTAAATACTGATTGCTGTATTAACCCCGTGTACCCATATCATACTGTAGAAGACCCCGTTTTGAATCAGATAGATATAATTTTAGGCCAATCAGGTCCTGAGACTATTTCTAAGCAAAAGTTGCATAAAACCTGATCTTGGGTCTGGAGCAAAATGTTTCCATTTTCTTCATAAAAAAAAATCAAAAGGAATCACTGACATAGATCACAATGACTTAAAAATCATGAATGATCCTGGTCCGTGTTAAAGGCAAATGACAAACATAGCTGAACATGAAGCTGTCTGCCCCCAAATCATTTCAGTGTCTCAATCACTTATCAGGTAGTTAATCAATCAGAGTCTGGTATGGTCTCCTCCACAGCCCTTTTGGTCTCCATGCTTTGCAATGGCAGTTAGATGCTGAATCCATGTGGTGTTCCTTACAGTGTGTTCACAGTAGAGTCCAGCAATCCATATTCCAGGATCCTCCGGCACACGACAGAGAGCAATTACTGTTCCTTTCAGGATCAGCAATCTCTTTACTCAGTAATTCATCATTTAAAAAAACTTAAGTGTAGTCACAACCAGATATTATTATCCACAATTACTTTCAATTTAGCTCTAAAGTCTGCATTAAAATCATTAAATGATATGTCATCTGAATGTTTATTCAGCAGAACGATTCAGGTTTTAATCAGAAAACAGTTAAAGTTATCCGTAACAGAATATATCATTCTGTGCATCCTACGTTTGTTTTAGCTCATTTGTCTGCATTTATGCTATAATCATTGCATTTTAAATGGAATGATGTTGTTTAAGGAAGCTGTAAAGAAACATATAAATATTAAGAACACATTTAAACCCTTTTTTATACATTTTAACATTTTATTCATGGATATTCTAAAGAACATTTTGAAATTATTTTTATTCTGAGTTCTACAGCTCATTACAGCAAATTGAGTTTATATTTCTAAAATTATAACTGGAGTTTTTTTGGTTTACTTTTATCCGCTTCCCACTGAAAGGGATAAAACATTTTTGTTCATTTCTAAGAATAAAACGTTTGGAACTGATTCCCCCCTTTGAAATCCCTCGACATGCTTCTGAATACATTTATTTCACAATCTATTTTTATTCAATATTGTTTTATATGACATTTTCAGTAATTCAATAAATATTGCAGTCCATGATTACAGCAATTCTTATTTTTAAAGCAAATATCTCTAGAATATTAATTTATTAACATAGTTGGTTTTATTTATTTATTAATAAAGTTTTATAAACAAGGCAAAGGTGTTTTGTACAGGATTCGGTTTGTGGCTTGCTTGACCAAATTAAGAAATCTATTGTGATATAAGATTTGGCCGGTTAAAGTAGGGTTAGGGTATAAACAATATTTAAATTTGAAGACATCTGTATCAGACTGCTGAAGAGCATAAACTAGGGAGCAGCTGAAGGCCAATGGTAACTATAAGGGAGCTTCAGGGATCCACAGCTCAAGTGGGAGAATCTCATTATTACTATAGATGTTAACACCAACATTTGGCTTCATTGAAGCAGGTGCAAGAACAAAAAAATCGTCCCATTTGTAAATTTTCATAATCCATGTAGGGAGCACAGTAAACATGTGGAAGAAGCTGCTCTGGTCACATAGATTAGAATTCAACTTTTTTTTTCTTGCACCCTGAACACACCATTTCTACAGTAAAACATGGCAGTGGCAGTATCATGCTGCAGGGCTTCTTTAGACCAGACACAGAAGTTGATCATAGTTTATGAGGAAGATAAAACTCAAAACTGATTTGCAGAACAAATGGAAATGCTAGAGTACCACTTATTAGTTAGCTGCTAAAGTCTTGAGATGAAGGCAGAGGTTCACCTTCCAGCAGGATATTCACCTTAAATGTAGAGTCAGTGGTGATATGTAAGGGTATACATTGAATTTAAGAGCTAAAACTAATAGAAATTAAATGGTACAAAATGAAGTTGGTGTTTCCTGATGTTTTGCATCCCATCTAACTGAATCTGACTCGTTGAAGGTTAATATTTTAGTACTTAGTTGTGCAAGGTTGTATTTAAAAAGACTCCTTGGCATACTAAGGCAACTTTTAGAAATTACAGTTTTTATAAGCTTATTTTCATTGTACTAAACAAAGAATTTAACCCTTAAAAATATATATATTGTTCTGAGACCCTTCTTATTCAAGGCTTGCATGTAAAATAAAACCTCTAGTTTTCAGTTAGATTATATTCCACTTAGAAGGAATTCAGTAAAATATATTTGCTTTATTAAAAAAATAACTTTTATCAAGAAGTCAGCAAAATGAAATAGAATCTCATCATTTTAAAATATGAATAGGCATTTTATTCACTTTTTCAAATCCAACAAAACAAATACCTGCACAATTCAAAGTTTGTAGATTTATCACTGAGTTAAAACAGTTCTTAAAATTGTAACCAGTGAATTCAAATAAATTACACGGATTCTATGAGGGAAATCTAAAAGTGACAAAAACAAAAACTGTTAAACCAACCTGTTTGTAAACAGGTAAGCAGGAGCTAAAAGCAAATACAAAAAATCAATTTAAAACCATCATTGATAGCTAAAGAAATAACATTAAGGTGTGGATCAATAGAACTTTGGTATGTTGTACATAGACAAAAAGGTTACGAAGCTCAAATCTAAATAGGGTTGGGTTTGTTTTTGTACGACAAAAAAATACTTTAAACAAGGAATGAAAACAAATTGAATCTTAAGAGATACGGCGAAGACCTAAAGAAAAATAAAATACTGAGTAAAACGCAGCAAACTTTGAAGGAGAAAAAAACTATGTTTTTTTTTTTTAGATATGACAAGAGCCTTTATTTTTTACACTTTTTTTTCAATGTCTTCGATTTGCCTCTTTGTAATAATGAAACTTGGCATTAATATGTGTCTGAGCTGATCCAATCTTGTTTCATTCATTTCACACAGCATTTAAATCAGTCATTTCCATTTCCGATAAAAAAAAAAAAAATGTTTCTGACATTTTTAGTGGCTCAGACCAGTCTTGCCACTGCAAAAATTTAAATACAAGCCTTTTTGTCCTTAAGAAGTGTGTTTCCACTTGTTTTGGGTAGGTAGGTGAGACAATTTGCAAGTAGAATAAGATGATTTAAGTTTAAAATATGATAATTTTGCTCAATTATCTTATATCAAGTGCATAATATGTAGTTATCTTATTTAAAGAGCAAAAATCATCTGTTTATCTGCTGAAATTAATGGTAAATAACATGTATTTACAACATCTTTTTTTATTTTTAGTTCAGTTTTTATCACTTAAAGGGAAACTTTCTGAAAATAATTGGTTAGATATAGTTTTCAGCAATTGTTTATGATTCATTTTTAAAAGCTGTAAAAACATTGATAAGAATGGAATTTATTTTCTAATAATATAATATGCATGACTTATGTGACAGAAAAAGCAAAGATTTACCTCCGTGTCCCATCATGATGTAATGAAACGTTAGTTTACAGAGTTTGAATCGTCATATCTAATTAATGCAGAACCCCCAAATAGATCAGCTCCAACTTTATGAGTTTTTTGTTAAGCTTCAATGTAATGTCATTCTTTGAATGTTAACCAGTTTGTTATTCTACTGGCACATGGTGACCCAACACTTTCAATCAATACTTCACGTGTTTGTGCATGATTTCAGCTTGAGGACACTTTAAATTAGTCATTTAATATTTTTCCTCATGGCACACTTTTTTGTACTCATTCCGCTCTTGTTTCGAAATAAATCTTTAGTGCTCTTGGCATATTGCTCGGATCCATTAACCAGTCCATTCTTATGATTCACCGAACCTCAAACTGAAGACCGGGTTTGACTGTGAAGTGCTAGAAAATGTTTCCCCCTTGTTCATTAATCTCAAGATTCAGCCGGGGATTTCCCCCGTTCCTCTTGTTTCAAAATGTTTAACGTATCACTCCATCATCCTCTCTGCATCTTTTCAATCATTCAAATCAGTTACCAACAGACATGAAAGG